ATTAGTATTTAACGAAGCTCCCAATGATTTCATGTAAATAATACGAACAGGAGCCGCGGAAGCGGGGGTGTAGAGGGTATACACCCCCAATAATGGGAAATTTTCAACTTTTTTCGATGACAGAAATGGATTTTTTGAACTTTCTATCATATTTTTATGAGGTATTATTGCAAAAAGTACCTTTACATCTCCCCCCCCCCCCACTCTTTGTACCCTCGCGCGTCCTCTGTGTGATATTTTTCTTTTATGATAATTGTAAAAGACCTTGAATATGATATGAAATACTTAAATTCATAAATTCTTAGTATTTATTTTTTCAGAAAAAAAAACGAATTAACAATAGATTATTTTTGTTTAATATTCGTAATCATTTTTAAGGCTGAATCTGAATGACTACAAGAACTTTTCAATGTTTGAATCCATGCAAAAACTAAATTAATACTGTAATAGATAAAACCAAAAAAAGGAACAATAATTAATCCTAATATAAAGAGAAAATGTTTTTTCCAATGATATAATTCGCCTTTAGTATTCTCATCATTAGTATTTAAAATAAATAGAGTCAATAGAATGAATAGGAAAATTTGTATAATAATAAAGTATGGTTGAATATAATTTAATAAATAATAAACAAGATTATTATAAGAATAATTATTAAATAGACATAAATAAACTATCCAAAAGATACTATTAAAAGTAGGTGCAACACAAAAATAAAATAAATTTTCATAATTATTAACAATTTGTACGCAAATTTTCCATGAATTTGTTTGAAAATTTTCATAATGTTTTATATTGAATAAATTTAATAGTAACTGATGAAATAAATAATATAAATCATAAATAAAAAAATTCCAACGTAAGGTTTGATTCCACAGTAGAATAAAAGTTTGATACATTGAATTAATATCTGTTGGTGTTTGATTATCACATGGTAAAAATGTAGACTTAAATATTAAAACTTTTTCATCTAATATTGCTAATTTATTACGCATATGTACATCTTCATGTACTAAATCATTGTCCCAATAATCAATTCTTTTTAATAATTTTAATGGTATATGATATTCACTTGTAAAACAACGAATACAACCTAAACAACGAAAATGTCCATGTGTAGCTGTTACTCGAATAATAGATATCCAATTTGTTAATATATGGTTTGATTGAAAATTTTTAAAATTAGTTATATTTGGTGTATAAATAATATGATTAAAATATTTTAAATTATTTTTTATTGATAAATAATTTAAATATAAAAAATAATCTTTACACCAAATTGAATCACAATCACATGAAGTAATCATAACATAATTATAGAAATCTTTTAAATTGTTTTCATAATATTTTACTAATATTTGAGCACAATAACCACAATTCGATGCTTTACCTGCTATTTCATTTTTTAAACCATCAGGATGAATTGTTTTTATTATTTTAAGAAATTTATTTTCATACTGATGAATTATATTATTATATTTTATATCACTATGTCTTTCACGTTCTTCTAATGCTAAACCTATTATCATTGATACATTTTGTTCTGCTAATGATTTTAAAGTGTTATCAATAATTAATGGATCTTCTTTAAATATTGGTATAATAACCATATGTAATATATCTTCAATATTATTATCATTATTTAATTGATAATTTCGATTTTGTATGTATGTATTTTTCATATTTATCCATTGTAAACTATTGAAAAATTTATAAATAATTCGTTTTTGTTTAATAAATGTAACAAAAGAATTTGCATACATTAATAAAACTGAAGTTATTACATATATAGATACTATTATATTATAAATAATAGTAATACTTGGAAAGTACCATATACTAATGAACGATATTAGAACAGGAAACCATATAAAAATACTACAGAATATTTTGATTGATAATGGGACTGTATGTGAATAAGAATTATTATAATTTTCCATTATTTTTTTATTTGCTTTGATATATGGATGTGTTAATCTAAAAAATAAAAGATAAATATTTTTTTTTGAAGAAACCAATTGTAAGTAAAATATTACTTTCGTACGAACAAGTATATAGAGTCAAAGGATTTTAAATTGATTATAACTTTTATCCATGGTCGAAATGTAAAATAATACTTAGCTAATTACAAAAGTATATATGTTAAAAATAAATCAATCAATTGATAAATAAAACACAAAGCGAAAACTATCAATATGCAATCAATCGATAGACTCGAATCAAATGAATAACTGTCGAATTTTCAGTTAGTGAGAATAAATGAAAACTTCGATTTGAGTAGACCAATGTATTTTCCTGGAACTTCAAGAGATTCTTTTGTTTTTACAGAATTTGTTGTCTTTTGAGAGTATTGAATCGTAAGAAAATTGAGTCAGGTGATATAACAGATGAGTTAAAAAGGATGAAATACATAGAAAATAAATCTTGTCGTTAGATGAATGACTTTCTCAAAGTGCTACAACTAATTAAAATAATTATTTGATTTAATAGAAGAGCTATAGTGTAGTTTGATTATTAGTTGACAGCAGAAATATAAAATATGACCAATATTGATGCTACTTTAATGTGATTACTTATACAAGAGGCGTAACAATGTAAATAATTCGTAGTTACATAACATCATTGTGCATCTTTCTCGTTTTATTCTTCTAAATATATACGTAGATAACAAACCTTAAGAAAATGAGCAATTCATCAAAATTATTTATACCTTATATATCATGTAAACAGCATAGCGAACGATGATTTGATATCAAGGTAATTTTGTACTTTTTTTGTCATGCATGAAAAAACTGAGTAGATCGATATAAAAAAACATTCATTCTAATTTTTTCTTATTGCCAATACTCTGACTTTCTATGTAAGACTCTTAAAAACCAATGTCAACGATGTTAGAATATCTGAATTGGAGAATGAACATTCAAATATGTGTGAAACCATACATTAACTTTGAATAGTATGCTTGACAATAGATGTCAAATAATTAAATGACATTATGGTACTCTAAGACTATCATGGTGACTTTGAAGATTGAAAAATATGTTAAAAATAAAAGAAAAACAAAAGTGAAAAATGTTTTCTTTCATATTCGTTTCTGAATGAAAAGTCATTTCATAATATCGTCTTTTTTCTCATATTTTATTTTATTGTTTTCCTTTTTTTCCACTATTATCAACAACATATCCATGATTCATCGGCCAAAATAAAAACCTATTTATGCATATATAGATATTTCATTTTTATATCTGATAGTAAATACGTCATGCATGATGTAAAAGATTTTTTCGTTCATGTGCTTTTAATAATGATTCAATAAGGTTTAGTTACAACTTTTGTCAACAAGTAACGCTTGTCTTTACGACTTGCTTGATCCTCAACTGAGCATTCAACTCTTTCTACATACTATACTACTCTACAAGTCCAATCGATATTAATATTAGAACGCATGTATGAATGTGGGTGTCGTTGTGAGTGTTTATATATACGTGCCATGTGATGCTTCTCTTTATCTATTCAACCAATCACTATCATACTGATACTCACATATCCATACTCACCTTCATAATGGGGAATTATTTTAAGGTCAATAAAATACATGAAATGGCCAGTAAGTGAGATAATTATAAAATCAGTCAATTTAATGATTGATCAGTAAAATAAATGATTGGTCAGTAAAATAAATGATTGATCAGTAAATTATTTAAACGATCGGTTATTAACTAATTAGGTTTGTAAATACATTTAAAAATCAGTAAATATAATTTATTAACAGTCGATTATATTAAAGGATCAGTATAAAAATTGAAATGGGTATAGAGTGAATCACTTTTTTCCTTTTCTTCTTTGTCTTCAGCTATTCTACAGGATGATTGAAAAGTAACTGCCTATTTTAAATTCTTTATTATTCTCAAACAACATAAGATATCGTCCTAATTTTTTCACCATTGTGAAGCATAGACTATGGCATTTTGTTCTAGATGAAACAAATCGACTGATCGTTTGGTTGTCTAAGATCAAACCCGAATTTTGTCTTGACAACATATGGAAAAAAATAATTATTTTTAGTAGTTTATTATTCTAGTAGTAGAATCAGGGTGTGGATGTGAGTGTGCGTATAGGTGTGGGATGTGCATGTGGGTGTGTATGTGAAGTTGTGATGTGTGTTTGGACAATGCAAAAATGTTCACCCAAATCAACACACTAACATCCTGCTTCTAGTATACGAATAATAAACTACCAAAAATAATGAGTTTTTTCCATATGTTGTCAAGACAAAATTTGGGTTTGATCTTAGACAGCCAAATGATCAATCGATTTGTTTCATCTAGAACGAAATGCCATAGATCATACTTCACAACGGTGAAAAAATCAGGACGATATCTTTTGTCGTTTGAGAGTAACAAAGAATTTAAGATAGGGAGTTACTTTTCAATTACCCTGTAAATGTATTCTGGTTCTTTTGACCTATTCTTTTAATCTGTTTCTTTTAACCTACACATTTTGTGAATAAGAGGAGTCATTGTTTTAATTCTTCTTATTGTGGATTGTCTAAAACAAAGGAAAAGAAGCTTCTCGACTTCTTCTCTCGTCACTGTTTTTATCTATCCCATATATAGGGTGGATGTGGGTGTGGAAGTGTATAAACTCTTTCTCGATACCCGCACCCACACTCAACGCGACAGCCACAGCTACACTCACCGACACCTAAACATCCCACATGCACATACCCTACACCCACACCCTATTCGTTTGAAATATTGAAAACCACCGTCAGCGGCAAAAACAGTTCCAATCGGTGAGAAAAGAAAAAGAGGTAGACCAGCAAAGGCTAAATCTTCTTTATTGATACAATAATTTGATTTTCTTTTTCTTTTTTTTTCAATTGCTGTTAAAATTTCTCCGAATTATGTGATTCTTTGATTTTTTTAAATTTATTTTCTACTGATAAAACTTATCTTTCTACTGATAAATTGTGTATTTTTCACGGACCAAATTTGTATTTCTTACTGATATAAGATGGAATTTTTTACTGCTACTTTATTTAATAAACTGACCATTTTACAATTAATTACTGCCAATTTCAATACTGACCATTTCATATTTATACTGATCATTTACATATTTTTTTACTGACGATTTCATCTATTATACTGACCACTTAAATGGTAGCCCTTCATAATCATAAAGAAATCGGTTACAATCAATATGAAACAAACAAAACTGGATAAAAATTCTATCGGTTATAATCGCACTAAATTGATTAAAGATGATTTCTTTTTTATTTATGTATATATATTTTTTTTAATGAGAAAAAATGTATATTTAAAACCAGATCAAATAAAAAAGATGCTTCACAAAAAAATTCTAGAGAAACTATTATGGCTCAGTGTATGAAGAGATGTAAGTCAAACAATAGACAGCAACGTGAACATTTGGTGAAAAAATGAACATAATATTTTTCATAATTTGAATGATGTCCAATATACTTTGCTAATGATTGACTTTTTGGTAAATAAATTATTCTAGCAGATTGAAAAACGTTAGGCTCAATAAAATAGCAAAATTTCTGTGATCTTAGAGAAAAGTATCTTTTTCCAAAGAAAGTAGAAAAATTCGAAGGAATAAATCATACAGATTCTTAAAGTAAAACTCTTCTATAATAAAAACTTTGTTTTAACACTTTGTCAGTTGGAATAAGTAATTATTCTGTGTTAGCTACAGATTTTCTAAGAAGATATGTTCAGAAGCGGGGATGTGGAGAGTGTACACCCCCAATAATGGAAAATTTTCAACTTTTTTCAATGATAGAAATGGATTTTTTGGACTTTCCACCATATTTTTATGAGGTTTTGTTGCAAAAAGTACCTTTATACCCCCAATCTTCGTGCCCTCGCACAGCTTCTGAATACGAAACCTTGAAATAGATAATAAATTGGCGGGTATTTCCGTATAAATAATACAAAAACCTTTGGGTACTTTCTACTAAACTATGGATGATTTTGTACAAAAAGTACGAAACTTGTAGAAAGACAATAAAACTAGGAACGGTTCCGTCAACATATTACAAAACTTGCAAAGGGTTTCGTTCGAAAGCTGTATTAATGTTCTAATGCATGCACTAACATCAATGTTTCATGTATCATCAAAAAGCAATGGAGTTACTTCTTATTTACGTCAGATAAATAATAATAATCATTATTTATATGTTCACAAGAAACTTATTTTAGATTTCAATACTATTCACACAGATAGACAAAAATCATCGAAAAAGTGAGAATAAATCATCAAGAACTATGGCATTTTTAAATAGAACTTGTAATTTCAATAACGTCTTTTTTCGAAATATTTCAAAAGGTACAAGAAAATTAGGTTGAAGAAAATGATGCAGTCTATTTAGAAGTCCGCGTAAACGAAAACAACTTGAGCTAGTTTACTCAATTTCTATCGTTTGATATAACCGATCTGAATTTTATTTTTCAATTTATGTAATCATGGATATCGTGAATGCATTTATGAAAAATCAGAATCGTTGATATTTTGATTGACCAACATAACTTTTTATTCCATTTTAATTCATGAAATAGATCACTTAGATTAAATCGACATTTGTCTATTTACCAACATTTTATGAGACATAGAAACGATTATCGATTTTAAAAGAAAAGATCATGGAACTTTTCGTTAAAAGTAATTTCCTTTACGTACTTTTTTTCTGAAACTTTATACTCTAAGAACATATTATTATTAAGAGAATTAGGTCTGA